AACCTGGCGAGTTTTAGCTACCTGAACTTGTGTCACATCACAAGAATAAATTAGTAAATCATATGCAGATATTGCCTGACCCTGCATATCCAGATTTTATGTTCTGGCCATGCTCTGGCTGCTTCTCTATCAATACAAGGTTCATCCATAGGATTTCCAGCACCAACAGGATTTCTCCTGAGTGGGCACATACCTGCAGTTTCCCAAGGCTTTGATAACCTGTTTTAAAGCTTATTCTGTATCATGAACTCACATCTCTGCCAGACACCATCAGGAAAGGAGAAAGAGCTCTCCCTGTCAGGGTTATTTCCACTGTGACAGCCCCGTTCTGTCCACCTGAGATGTCTGTTTAACGTGAGCATGTTAACAGAGCATGAGCGTGTGAGCAAGAGGGAAAGAAGTAAAAAACCCACCAGACAGAGAAGAATGTGGTTTATGTAAACCATTTATATAACCCCACTTTGAGCAACAAACTGATTAGGATCCTCTTTTTTTATGTGCCTGTCCCCTTCATCCCCAGTGTTCTTCTGTTCTCTGCCTTGGTTTACCTCCCAGACTCTGGAAAATCTTCCAATATCAGAAAAAAAACCTTTTCTTTTATTTGCTCTTAAGAAAGGCTCTACAACAAACATATTTACTTGGTTATCTTTGAGACAGAACCTGAAGACCAGAAATGCCCAAACATTGTAAAATAATTTTCCTTTGAGTATTTAAATTCAACTGTTTGAGCAGAATTATTTTGTCAGGTAATACAGGAATTAATGAATATTTGTTAATACAGCAGAGTGCAAACAGACATCATGGTGTATTTTTGGAAAATGGGTTTAAGTTTATACAGACAAAGCTTTATTTTTAACATTTCACTTTTGTAGTATAAGACTAGAAACGTGCAACATGACTGAGTTCAGTCTGAAACAGAAGCTCTGAAATACATGTCAAAAATCTCTAAGAACTAAAAAAGTAACTCCCTGCACCCTGCTCAGGTGGAAACAATTCAAGGAATTTTTGCAGGTGATAGTACAGAACTGGTTTGCAATGACTTTGTGAAACATCATTGACTACTGAGTGAAATCAATGACACAAAATATTTTGAAATATTTTTCAGTTCTCTCTCAATTGTTTGGAATCTATCTGTCTGTATTTATGTGCTTTTTTCTGTTGTTTTGATTATAAGACATTTTACTGAACAACTGAAACTTGTTCGGTATATGCTGAAGTATATGAAGTAAAATAGAGCAGTTTCCTTTTTTTAACCTCATTCATTCACAGAGTGAACAATAGTAAGATGCAATTAATATCTGCACCTTATCTTACTAATACAAGTTTACACCCTTGGATTTAACATTGATTTCATGGGAATTAGTCCAAAAGTATGCTGATGCCCCGGATCATCTCTGGTACCTGCCAAAAACATCACTTGAACACATTGGATCAGGGTTTGAATGAACTGCTCAGTCTGTCAGAGCTGGGACTCTGCCCTCTGGCAAATGCTTTGCTCAGTGTCCCCTTGGATGTCTCCTGTGTCCTGAATCCCCTAACACTAACTTTTATGAATGAATAATAAAGTAATTAAAAAGACAATTTAACTGACAGAATGGACCAGAGCAAACACCTCCTGCTTGTGCCATAACCCTCGTCCCCTCAGTCAGAATGTTCTGCTTGCTCTGCTCCAGGGCTCGCTGATGATTTATGGAAAATGAGCTCCAAGAGCCTGTGCAGGAGCACCAGGTGTGGTGTGCAGGGCTGCAGGGGCACCAGACAGGCACCACATGGGAATTGGCTTTTGGGCCTTGCTGCGGGGTCACTGGGGGAGCTTTGGGGGCTTTCTGTGACTGCCTAATGGGACAAAAGCTGCATCAAGCACTGTTTGACTCTCCTGCAGAGCCAGAGTGTCAGCGGGCAGGAGCAGGGGGGATGGAGCTGGGAGGTTCAGGCAGGTGAGAGCATTTTGCTTTAGCACACCAGGGGCTGGGCACTCACACCTGAGATGTTCCTCAGCAGCTGCCCTGTGTCAACACCACCTCTCATTGTCAAGTTTACCCCCACACACTCTGATCCAGCACCACGAGCCAGCGGCAGAGTTTTGCTCCAGGGGGCATTATTTGAGCTGGCTCTTTGGTGTTGGTGCTCCAAATGCCCACTGGACAGAGACAGTGCCTGTGAGCAGAGTGTAAAACATGCCCTACACCACTGCAGGTGCTGCATGCTGGGGAAGACACACACCAGAGTCGAGGCTGTGCAGCTCTGCTCTAGAAGTTTATGATCTCAGACCTCTGGATGAGGCACTGGAGCAAGGGTTATCAATAACTTCCTAAACTATGCTGAAAAAGATACCTGCGGCTCTGTTTCCAGCACTGCCATAAAATGTGAGAAGCCTTGTTAAATTGCATTTAATGACTGGGAATCTCAGGCTAACTGACTCCTTCATCCAGCAGCTGTGAGTAATAATACTCACATGAGCAGGTTTCACTGGCAGGACACTAACCAGCCTGGAGCAGGAGAATCATGCACTCATGCACTCTGAAGCTCTGGGCAGCTCCTGTTGGAGCCAAATTATTTCCCACTGGCAGGGAACAGCTTGGAGCTCCTGGAGTGCACACAGAGGTTGAATTATCTCTTTATTCAGCTGTGACGTGCCTCACCTGAGCTAGCAGTTTGGCTGCTAGTGGCACTCACTCCAACCTGGCGCACAACAGCGTAGTGTGAGAGAATCTCCCCAGTGCCTGTTTCCCAGTTTAGCTGGTTTTCTTCTACCAGTAAGAGCAGTGCAGAGCAGCATTCCAAGCATTAATATTTGTCATGTTTTTCCCTGAAAATTTACTTCAGAACACCTTTCATCGTAAAAGATCTTATTTTCACAAATGAGACTCCTGGTGCTTGTACGCTTCTGCACGGGGGGAAGTGAGAACCCGGAGCATCCCGCGTTACCCGGAGCATCCCGCATCCTCCCCGCGGCTCCCGCAGGCTGCCGGACCGCGCACCCCCGGCAAAACCCTGGAAATACCCCCGGAAAAACCCTGGAAAAACCCCTGCGGGGTCTGCAGCGCGCAGCCGGCTCCGCTCCCCACTTGTCTCCAACACCGGCGGTCCCGGCAGATTTTGTTTCCACGGGACGGCTGGAACATTTGATTCCATTCTGGAGCGGGTGTGAGGGAATGGGATGCGGCTGTGGAGCTCCCGGCCGTGCACAATCCCAGATCGGAGCCAGGCTGAGGGAACCGGGAGGGGAAGGAGCTGAGGGGGAGCAGAGCCCGGACACCCCGGGGACCCCCGGCACCCGGCCGGGCAGCGATGCGGAGGCAGGTGCCGCGAGGAGGGGGATGCTCTGCTATCCAAAAATCCCTCCGGAAAATACCGCTTTCTTAGAATTGCCCCCGAAGAGAAAAAAAAAAAAAAAAAAAA